TTAGGAAAGATTTCTACTCTGAGGATTGGAAATCTCAAAGAGAGTGGTTCTTTCAAAATTACAAGAGTAAGAATAGATCCGATATCCAAGAGGAATTTTACCAATTTTCTCGAAAAGGTCAAGCAGAATATCCCCTTTTTTGATTGGTATCATGTTTATACCATTCACAATAATATTAATTATCCCTGGTAAGAAGATGTTATTAGTACTTCCTCTGCTAATGTTATAACTTGGCAGATTAAAGATGAACAAATTGTTCAGAGTGAACTGTCACCCATAACTTATTATCAGTTACTAAACTTGAAAGACAAAAGTGGTAATCATGTTACGGCTACTCCTTTCAAAACCAAGAATCCTGATGAGTCTATCACTCTCAATGATATCCAAGGCCTCATGGAACAGGCCAATTACACTAACAAATACCTTCAGGTTTTAGGAGAAAAAATCTTTGTGAATCCTGTTAAATCTAAGGAGGAAGAAATAGCTTCTTCTACTTCCCAACCTCAATTAGAAAAACCTCTCTTTAAGCCTTTTAAGATTAGCGTCAAAGATAAACAAAAGATCTTAGAACTTAAGCAAAAAGAAAGAATCAAAGCCATTGATGATAACCATAATGAGTTACTTAGTAAAGCCATTAATATTTTTAATTCAAAATATAAGAAATAAAGGTTCTGCTTTTAATGTATTAATTGCTGATTTTTTTTTATAGTTTTATTTAATATGAGATTTGTATTAACGGAATATTCATCTTTTATTTTTTATTTTATAACTGAACACATTCTTTCATTTACTATATTATTTATATACTGATTAATACTTACTATTTTTAGAATAGAGTATAAATTTATAAAATGTAACTATTTTTTATTGATATTAATGAACTAGATATTTATTTTTATAAATATAATTATTTTTGGTTATTAATAAATTTTTCTTGTTATTTTAAATATATCTAACATAGTTTTATTTTATTTTATTCTTAATTCTTTCATCAATATATTTGATAAGACCCTTGTTTTTAATTCGTTTTCTCTTATTTGTTGTTAGAATAATAATATCAAATTGTTGTCTTGTCAAAAGATAAATAAAAATGTGATTAGTTAAAAATAAGAAATATTTTTTATCTTATTATATATGTTTGATATATACTAAAATAATAAATTAAATAATATTATGTTATTTCTATTTTGTGTATTTTTAACTTAACTCTTCTCTTTTAAATATATTAGCTTTATATTAAAGGGATAGATAAATTAAATTTATAAAATAGACTTATCTTAGTTAAATAAACATTAAAAATAAAATAGGATAATTTTTTTTATTTTATATTTGTACTATGTTCACAAAGTATCTTAATTACTTGAAAATAAGTTATATTCAAATATCAAAAATATAGTTTTTAATATATTTTTTTTCGGTTAGTGTTATGCATTGATAGTATCAAATTTTGTGGGGAAGTGATTTTTTTTATTTTATAAAACAATTAGAGTTGTTTGGTTTTAAATGTCCTTGTCCTTGAGGACTTGTTCAAATGTTGGTAAAGTGGAACGTAAGACTAAATGAGATTTGATGAGTGATTAGAATGAATGAAAAGAAGTGATAATAACCCACTCTTATACAAACAAATCAAATATTGCATGGGAGTATACCATGCATGCATCATTATAAGTTTGCTCTTATTAAATTTTGTATGACTCATGAATCTACTTAGTTGTCGCCTTCTATATAATACACTCTGATAAGCTTGGCCTTGTTAAATTTAAAGTGTGTGCTTTGGTACTTAAATTTTTTTTTAGTACAGTACCCAAAAAAATTATACCAATAAAAATAAACATGTGACAAGTTATAAAAAATATATATTATTATATATAATTTATTTAAAATTATATTATTTATATTATTTGCTATATGGTCCTATTAAATTAATATATTGTATATTGAATTTTTTATTTTATTTTTCTATTATTTTTTTATAAATTTTCAGTTTTAAATAATTCATATTTAAGTAATTTCTATTTATTATAAATAAAAAAATTTATAACATAATATATTAATATAATAATTAAATTAAATATTAATAATAATAGAATTAAGAATATAAAAAATATATTAATATAATATTATTATTTTATTTTTAAATTTTAGTTTATTTAATTTTGATTACGTCCTATTCCTATTCAAAAACTTAATTGCTCTTTAACTTATTTAAACGTGGTAAATATAATAATAATCTATTATTAAATAAATTTATTATTTAAATATGCATATAAATATTTTTAGTTTCGAACAGTGTTATGAATTTTTGACATGTGTACTAAGTTTTTGATATAGTATAAGATATTGTCGTATCCATAAGAAATGTGGATACTTAAGGCAGTTTCAGCTATCTAATTTAAAATTAACAAATTCTTATTTATTCACAAATGTATAATTCACTAATATTTTGGGTTTTTGGTAGTTTAGATCATAGAAAATAAATAAAAATACAAATAAAAGCAAATTAAACTATTATGATAAGATTGTGGATTGGACTTTATCTATCATCATCTTCATCTTTTGGTTCTAACACATATTAACAATTACCAAAGTTATATGATGCATTTTTATTATATTCACTCATTGGATTCCTCTCACCTGAAATTCTAAGATATATTTATTGAGTGATAATTCTTTACCTAATCAACAAATAATCCAGCATTACTAGCAAGAGTTATAAAACATATAATAGATGAAAATCTATTTCTAAAGTTCCAATCTATTGCGTGTATTTACCCCGCTCTCCAAGGTAATTTTCCAACTCACCCCGGATTCACAGATCATGAATCATTTCCCTTAAAGTAGAAATAAACATTACAATCAAGATAAATACACTTAACTCATGACAAATCAACAAATATATATTAAAAATACCAAAACATTTAGAGTATGAAGATTATATCAAATCTCTAAAGTTCTACCCGTTCTTGGCATATACTACAATAAGGAAATACAAAAAAAAGAGATAGAAATTAGTTCTCCCAATAATTTTTTATCACTTTCACAAGCTCCTCCACTACTCTGCAATACTAAGTTAGGTCAGTACTAGGGCTTCAAAGCCCGCTTCTAGCTCTCCATTTTCAAGCTAAATCTTCTATTTTTATAAGACAATAAGTGAATTTCTCATTCAAGTGACCAATTTTCGCTTAAGTGAGAACCAACCCGAGAGCAAAATTTCTTGCAGGATTTCTCGCTCAAGTGATCTAATTCTTGCTCAGGCGAGGTTCATTCTTTTTCAAGTGAGAAAACTAGCAAAAAATCTAGTGTGAATTCTGCATTTTTCGCTAAAGCGAGGTAATTCTCACTTGAGCAAGCTTGAAATTCTGGGCGACTTCAGTAAATCTGACTCATCTGCAAAAAATCATGAAAAATAGAAAACAACTCTAAATCTAGCAAACCATATATGCATTTTGAATTCTCAAATGTGTAAAATTCAATGCAACTGATATCAAGCAAAAATAATATTTGTAGAAAAAGTTATGGCAAAAAAAGTTGATAGAGGTCAGATTGGCTGAAAATATAAAATTACAATATTCATGCAAAACAAGCCCAAATCATTTCTATCAATGAGAAATGGTAAAAATAAAAAAAAATATCAAAATAAGGCATATGAAGAGTGTTTTGAAGACACAATAAAGTTATAAATGTGAACACCTCATCAAACCTTTGCATTTAAGAAAATTCACATAAGAGAAGTGGATCAAATATCTTCTATTATTTGACAAAATTAAGGCAAAGTTACTGAATTTAAATGACATAAACTTAAATGCATTAAAATATAAATTGCATAAAATTTAAGTACAAATTATATGAAAAGGAATCAAATAAGTGTCAAAATATATTTTGACAAATACTAAAATATGACATTTATCAAATACAACACAATTTCTATTTATTATAAATAAAAAGAATTATAACATAATATATTAATATAATATTATTATTTCATTTTTAAATTTTAGTTCGTTTAGTTTTAATTACATTTTGATCCTATTCAAAGGTTTAACCACTCTTCAACTTATTTAAATATAATAAATGTGATAATTTATTATTATATAAATTTATTATTTAAACACATATCTAAATATTATTAGTTGAAAATTTTCGTGTACAGTACCTTGAAAATTTTTAAGGGCACCACATAATTTACCTTTATTTTATATATTAATTATTATAAAAATTAATGATTTTTCTTAATATTACCATCCCTGATTAAGCGATAATATAAATTTCTTTTACTTTAGTAATGTATTTAAATTAATTTAAAGAATTAAAATTTAGATTTACCATGTAAATTATATTATGATAATATCTTCTATTGTTTAAATTTTTATAAAAGCAGTCAAATATTTTCTATACTACCTCTTGTCCAATTTATAGAAATATAAGTATAATTTATCAAGACTAATAAAAGTAATTATATATCATACATTTATATTTTATTCTAAAATATCTATGGTATTAAATAGTCAAATTAATGTACTATATATTAAATGAATGAATATATCCTCTATTATGAACAAACATTGAATACCTCATGAACACAAATCTTACAATAAATGAAAATATAAAAAAACTTAACATTTAATACATTTAATAATATACAAAGAATTTAACAGTTAATACATTTTTTAAAATAAGATTTTGTTTCTTATATTTTGAGAAAAAAAAATTATTGGTAGTTGTAACCTTAGTGCATTATGGAACCGCACCCTTCCCTCAGCAACATATATATAATGGTTGCCAGAGGTAGAATTTCTCAGTTAGAAGAAATATCACAGAACTATGATAACTTTCTGTTACAAAATGTAGTGTTGCAGATTTAAAAGTTGAACAGAAAATGAAGAAAGCTATCATTGATGTTACCTCATATCCACATCCATATCATATTACAATTTTCTCTAGAGTATCATAAAAGTACTTGGAAATTGGAAGAGATTAACGTCAAAGGAAATTGAATATTCAAAACATATTTTCAGCAATCAGTAGAAGAAACACACAGTAAAGTAGACATCATCAATAGCACTAGGACAAGCATTACGACTCGGTCTTTGATCAACTAGATTGAACAATCTATGTACAACCCAAGTCAAAAACAAAAGAAATTTGTATCAAAACTACAATAACTAGGTTCAAATGTTTATGGACATGTAAAGCATCAAAGTTCCAAGTGAAGAAATTAGATGAACAACAGATCACCCAGAAACAGGAGCTACTTAACACAGTTTAGTGGCTATCAGGAATTAACTCTTCCTGCTAATTTCTGACCAATTTGGTTGTGCTGACGCGATGCTGCAAGTGAGGGTTCAAGAGTTTAGTGTGACTCACATTTTGGCCCTGCTGTTGCATAGGGGAAGGGTTCATCAACCCTGCAGCATCCTCAGTTACTCGAAATACAGTAACTTGCAGCACAACCTCCTTCATTCTAAGCAGCTCAAACACACATACATCACCTTCCCCCAAATTGTTCTCCAATGTAAATTCAAACCATCCCTGGCTTAACTTTGCTCTACCTCCTCTATAAAGGCAGCGAACTGGCCATTGTCTCCCATTGGAGATCTGAAGTTTAATGAATCCTGAAACCCCGTTGAGATTCTTTTCGGCAAAGCACGAAGGCAAATACTGGAAAACAGAAACAGGATATAAGTATGCAAGATCCATACTGAAGAATATCGTTAAATACTGAATTGAATTCACCATCTCACCATTATGCATCCCCTGTATAAATAGGAGGGTCGCAGGACAACTCGACAGAAAGGATTAGGTGGTTCAAATGCTTTTGCTGCATTAATTGCCCTTTCTCTTTCTTCTGCTGTCACGGTTCTTTTTCTTGCAGATGCACTTTCATAAAACCTGTAGCGCATTTCTACCTCATCTTCATTTTCACCAGAGGGTTCCTCACCATCTATAGTTACATGTATTGTATTAATTAGAGAAGTCATTTTTAGATTATTAGACACAAAGGAAACTGGAATATCAAAAACTTACTGGGATCTACTTTCCGCTTCTTTCTTGCAGTTGCAGTCTTATTAACCCCTTCCTCATTGGAAAAACGCAATTTCAATTCTTCAGTAGACCTTTTAAACTCAATAGCATTAAACTGAACACCGATGTCTCTGGTTGATGGATGGTCTTGCGAATTGGCACCCTTTGGAGGAAAAACACTTCCACTATCTCCCCAGTTTACGCGATTAAGTTTAGACCCACCATTAAACAAATTCTGCAAAGCTGGAGTATGACTCTTCCCAGGTGTCATTTGATTCACAGGTCCAGCAAAAACCTTGTTTTGCAATGCACCAGACGTAAGGTATGGAGTTGACGAATCCGACAAATCAAAGGAGTCTACATCTTCCATTTCATCAAAAATATGATGATAATTTGCAAAGCAAGGCCCTTCATTACGGTTTCTCATGACTGATTGATAATTTACCTCAGAAGTACTCAAATTAAAAATATGAACAATGAAAGATGAATTCCCTTCATACATGAATACCAAGAAATATCCAATGCCAATGGAGTAGCGTTGAACAAATTCTTGCCAACCATCAACGAACCAAATTCTGTTGTCTGCCTTTTTCAAACCTATACGCCAAACATTACCATCAGGAACAGTCAGGGTAGCAATTGTAGAAAGTTGCCCCCCATATTTCCTCAGGAAATTATCTGGAATCCTCTGGATTTCAAAATGCAGGTTAGGTTCCAAATATTAGTACTAGCTCACAATAAGATGGACATTTCTACCAACTTTATGATGATGTTATTGACTATAAGAATGGAAAATTTAATGATTAAGAGAATAATGAGTATACACTGTCCTACCATCACCTACAAAGCTCCCATTAGTAATATCTCCTATTATTAGTGATTGTAAATCTTTATAATGGAATACATGGAGGGTATTTTCCTCAAGCAAATCAGTAAGCTTTGTCCATCTTAAGATAGTGTTTAGCAAAAAATTTTATAAGCATGCCTTTAAGGCTTTGTTTGAGAGTTTTTAGATGACAGCAGGAGGTTTTATAAACCCTCTAAAACCCTCCTAACCTCATGTTTTTAAGTTCCTCCAATTTGGAAGGCTTTCTATTAGCCCTCCTTCCCTCTCCCTTCTCCTCTCCTCCCTTACCCTTCAAACCCTCTCCTTCCCTTTCCCTCCAAATTTCCAAACAAAGCCTAAAGTGTATGCAAACATGTAACAATTATCCTTGCATTTTGTCCTATAACAAACGAAGAGCAGGGTTATCAATACCATTGAGATCAGGCAGCAACAGATCTCAATTTGTAGAGCATTTCTATTTACTGCACCACTCATTGTACCATAATTCACAGCCATTTTTTTTTTATCAATCTCACACAGTGACATGGAGATGAATGACCATTGACCACTATTATGACATTTCAAGATGCACATAAAGAAATTTATATTACACATGTATAAATGCTGAAAATTAGAAAAACAAAAATTAAAGACTTGTTTATAACCAATGATCAAAGGTCAGAATGTGAAGCTAAACACACAGCAGATAAAGATTATATGCCAGTTTTAGTGTCTGCTAAGGAAAGAAAAGAATAGAGAGGGACACTGATATAGAAAAGAGAAGAGAGGATAGAACACAAGATGGCCATTGGGATCAACAGACTAGATGGACACTGTTGCTATGTGGCCAGAAAATGTCAGAAATACTGCCAGACAATATTTCTAAAGCCAGACTGGCCATTGAATCTATGAAGGCATTGGTTCACGGTTCATTGTTTATAAACTGTTGTTAAACCGGAAAGAATAAAATATATATTTTTAATATTATATAATATATTAAATAATAAACTAATATAAAATTATAAAAGAGTAACGTTAAGTGAAGCTATAAATTAGCATAAAATAATCATATTAAAATAGTTAAATAATAGTAAATTATATGTAGATATCATGTAAGTCTATTTATTAAAATATATTTAAAAATAAATAAATTTAAAATAAACAAAAAAACAAGAGGCCAGTTCAGACTTCAGACCAATTTTCTACACCAGTTCTTACCCAGTTTTGGCCAGTTATTGACCAGTTTTTTGTTCTACTGATTTTCTGAGTTGACCAAACCAATCACCTGACTAGTTCTTGGTCCAACTAACCAGTTGGGTCCAATTTCAATAACCATGCTACCAGAGAAGCAGGGAGGTCATGGTTTGTCCAGATTCAAGTGTTGCACAATGATACTAAAAATAGGGTTTTCTTTTCCTATAACCACTGTAAAGGGGCAAAATGCCAAGACACCCCACCCTCCCTGCAAAAAAAAAAAAACTTTAAACTTCTTTGTCACAGGATAAAAACGAGTTCTTGAACCAAAATTGCTCCCAGAAAATCAGCGCTCAACATTTTTGAACCCCGTGAGTTGCACTGCTATTGCATGTTAATGGTCACGATTGTGGTCATGACAGCTTCAACCCAGAAACCAGAATGCAAAGCTGCTTGTAGTGGCCCAAGGTTGCTCCTTGACATACCACAGTTATAGCACACTATTAACTACTCTGTTCATGACCAAAATTGCATCCATAGGTGGAATTCATACTTCATAGTTCATACCACTAATGCATCATGGAAGGTAAAGCCTCATTCTCTGACTTTTTAATGCTAATTTCTTGAAAATTTCTTCATTTTCCCAACATATTTGGAATCATTAAATTGGAAATCCTCCATTCATTTCCAACATTATTCACATATATGAAGCAAGCCTTGCTCATCTGATTCACCACCAAAAGCTTGAGCCCATTGAATGGCATTTCCACCCATTCCTAGCCTTTTCCAGCACCACCAGTGGTCCTCAGCACCCCCTAATACTCAACCTTAACCTAGCACTCTCCTCCTGGTCAGTTGCTCCCCCACCATTCTTTCCGCACTTTGCAGCTATCAGATGTAGTTCTTTTTTTCTAACCCTCTGCTCTACTATTCAACCCTCACTGTTCTGTATTTTATTAGACTCTGACATCAATTATGAACATGCCTTCAATTTACAGTAAATTTTTATTTTGAATAACCATCCCACTATAGCATTTTTGGGGCCACTACCCACAATAAAAAAAATATGGTAATTAAACAAGTATCTCTACTCAGATCAGCATATTCATATGCTTAACTAATCAGTCATGAAACTGAAGTTCAAGATTTATTTTAAAAAAAAAACTTAACTCTAAGTTGTCACAGCAGTCAGAACACATTTGGGAAACCAACAACTGCAATCCAAAATTTGTATTTCATTAGTGCAAGAATCTTAACTATGCTAGTTGAATTGCTAATATAATTGGCCTGCAAAATATCTTAGGTTTGCTTAGAAGTGGTCGTTACTCCCTACAATTAGAGCCATCAAATGAGTTTGAATCTGTGAGCCAGCTCGCCTCAACCTGGCTCACTGGTGAGCTGAATTCTAAAGATCTTGACTCAACCATTGTGGTTTTTCATGTCTCAGTGCACCCAACTCTCAGGTTATGGTTTAATAAAAAAAGAATTATTATTCCAACCAAAAACATAAATTGTGAACTACCTTGGACCTAATTCCCATGACTTGTGAGCCACGTGCCTCATTCATTTTGAAAATTTTCAACACATGCTATTTTTAGAAAATTATCAAAAGAAATCTCATAGTAATAATATCTCCAAGATTTTGGTTTTTGATGAAGCCTAGTAGCATTGTATAATCCATGTACCCAACCTCACCTAGTGGGATAAGGATTTTATTATTGTTGCATTGCATTAAAATCAAATTGAGGTGATAAAAAAAAAAGTGTGCACCACATCATATGGTTCATACCTTTCTTCCAAAACAAGTGACAAGGGATAGTGCTCTTGTTCGATATTGAAATTAGATTGTAAAGCAACCAACAATTCAATGCAAATTTACCAAGGAGACCTTCCAAAATTATAGTTATTAATTGCATGCTTTCACAGGACTATAGCATTGGCACAGCTGCTGGGCACTACAAAACTTTCATCACATGGTTTTCTTTGTCATGGACATCCCAATGGCTTTCACAGCCAAAAATGTGGGATTCCATGGTGTTATAGCACTGCTACAGTAACATAGGCCAAAAACCCATTTATGCCCTCGAAACCAGGTTGTTTAGGGGCAAAGCTGACTTTCCCCCTTCTTCAGAATGTTAAAAACCCTAACCCCTTGTTTTCCCACGCTTTTCTTCTCTTCTTTTGTTCAAGACCTTCTTTCTTACCTTTCCTCCCCTCCCCCCCCTCTTACTCTAACAGAGTCTAATTTCAAGCAAACAACTAAAAGAGCAATTATAGGGGAAATTGTTCAATTAGGAACACCGAGTCAAAGAAAATTACAACAATTGTATCTAATGTATGCACAGTGTTAGAATATGAAGACATAAACTAACCAAACCCACTTCAAATTCTGAGCCCACAATTCACTCCAACCCAAGAAATCACAAAACCTTAACACTGAAGGAAAACTTCTAGATTTGCTGGGGGTTGAGACTTAGAACTCAGAACCCCACTGAAAGAAACATTTTCTAGTGAACTAACAAACTGAATAGAAAACCTGAACACCCCTACTTTCCCCACCCACCCCAAACACAATCTAGAGAATCAGAGGGTAAAGTATATCCAAACTTGGCGAAAAGGGGTTTCTGAGTAGAAGATAAAGTGGCGAAGACCCACAAAGCCTTTTTCCCTTGCCAACCTCACAAACCCAAAAGAAAAAAAAAAAAAAAAGAACCCAAAATTCAAAATCAAGGGCATAACCAATTCCAAACAAGAAAGAAAAACTTCAATGAGAGGAAAAAAGGGAGAGAGAAAACTGAGGTACCAGTTGTCTGGATTGGAGGGTGGTGGGGAGAATAAGCTTGTGAAAAGAAGGACGAGGCATTCTCTGATAGTGTTTATGGAGGCAGAAAAGGAGAAGAAGAAGAGGGTTCAGAGCATTTTTGAGGACCCTTTGATTGAAAGTTGAAAACTTAGGGAGGATTTGCTTCACACTCAGATCTACTTGTTCTTCACCTTCTCCTCCACCCCTTCTCTGCTTTTGAGTCAAACAAGCATTTTTTAAACCTTTAAAAAACCCCCACCCCTAACCTAATTAAAAGCTAACGAGTTGGTGACTAGCCCGAGTCCGCTCATACCCTTTCTCACCAATTTAGTAACACTAATTAAATAATTAAAAATATGTTATACGATTTTTTAATGTTTCATAAATTAACTATTGTCATCATTAATACAAAATATTATATTATATTAAATAAATAAATAAATAAATAATATTTTTACTTTAAATTAATATTAAATTAAAAATAAATATATAAAAAATCACTTGACATGATAAAAAATACTAATTTTTAAAACTAATCTTATTTAAAAATACTACTAACAATATTTATATATAAGAATACTCTTAAAAAATTTTCATTTAAAAATTAATACTGATTACTATATATTATTTTAGCATAACATAACAGATTATTATCAAATAACTAAAATCCATTTATTTTATTTTTCTGGTTTATTATTATTATTATTATTATTACTATTATTATTATTATTATATGCAGAAATTTAATTTAAATATGAAGTAATTAAAATTTAAGATGGAAAATTTAATATAAAATTTTAAATTAATTAATTTTATCTTTATAAAAAATTCTTAATATAAAAGGAAATTTTTAAAATAATTAATGACTTGAGATATTTTTGGGAAAAAATTGTAAAAAAAAGACTTTTTTAGGTGAGTAAAAAATAAAATATAATATGAAAAAAATGCTCCGATTATGAATAAAATTTATTATTCATATAAATGATTGAGGTAATTTTTCTTGTTTAGGTATAAAAATTGTGAAAAAGAAAGAAAAAATAGATTTCACTCATTTAAAAAGTTTATATCATAAATTGAATGTTAATGTGAAAGATATGTAAAATGCATTCATTTTAATTTGAATTTAGCATTTTGATAAAAATTCACGTAGTTTATATTGCAGTAAGAAGAATATTAGTAACAAATCTTTTAAATACATTTTGTCATTAATTAATTTTTAAAAATATTGATTTATAAGATAAATATTTTGACATTTAAAAATAAATTAATTATAAAAAATACAATTTAAAAATATGTTCAAAATAATGTATTATTATACTCGCAAGAATCTCGATACCCAGTCAACTTCTACATTTATTAAGTACTAAATTTTTAAATAAGAGTATTTTTAGGAATATTTTTAAACGACATAGCTTTTAAAAGTATTAAAAAATCGAAGCATTTTTAGGAATGCATTCTTTTAGAATCACGCTAAGTGTTTTTTTTTTTTTTTTCATATTATGTATATTTTATTCTATCTAATTTAAATTTTAGATTTTTATAATTTATTTTAAATTTTATTTATTATAATATTTATTATTAATAATTATAATATTATATGTTTAAAATTTATAAATTTAAAATAATCATATAATATATTTTTAATTAATTATTTTAAAAATTTAATTCAATTTAATAACACATATACAGTGCAATATTGTTCTTTTTAGTCAAGGAATAGTTATATATTACATTTAATGAAATTTTCAATTTATTTAAAAAATATCTGCAATAAATATCTTTTTTATATAAATAATAGATAACTAATTCTTTAAAATTAATAAAAAGAAATTATATATTATAAATTATGTTATATTTAAAATTTTATAATATTAAAAAATTTAATTTTATTGTACTATCAATCAATTAGCTATAACTTTTGTATTAATTCATTATCACAAAAATTAAATATTCCTATTAATAATATAATCTATAAATAGATAAATATAAAAAAAATTACACCGTAAATATATTTAAATAAAATTTAATATTAAATAGTCAAATTGATAATTTATATATTAAATAAATTAATATTATAACTTATATGAGTAAATTTAGGAGTGTTTACAATTTGGTTTAGATTAGTTTGGAAATAATATCAAAATTCAATTAATTCAAATTCATATTTTATAATTAAGATTAAATTAATTTTTTGGTTTCTTACCATGTTTTTATTTTTTATTTTTTTTCATTTTAAGGAACACAACTTTAACATTTTAATAAATAAATAAATAAAATTTCATTATTTAGAGTATAAAAAGAGTCTTAATCATATAATTTTTTTTAGTAACTAATATTTTTTATTTAAGAGACCATACTCATTAAATAAAATATCAAATATATGATAATTATGATAAATAAGTAAATAAAATAATTAAATGTTATTATAAATTACAATTTAATATTTACATGAATCAATTAGTAATGAGTTGTTTTAACTTTACATGTATCTCGCCTAAGCGAGTAATGCATTGCTCAAGCAAGTTATTCCTCGCTTAAGTAAGAGCGTACGGAGTTTAGGGGTATTTAAGAGATTTTCAGCATGGAAATTTCATTTCATTTTAAAACTCATGTTCCTCTATCATTTTCTCATAACTCTCTCTTCCCTATTATAGAAAAAAACTTTGAAAACTCTGAAACTACACCAAATTCTAGCTTAAACTTCGTCTCCACGGAATCATTGGTGAGTATCTCAAAGCTCAAACTCGTCGTTCTTATTTCTATCTTCTTTGTTTCTTTTTTACTCAAAGAATACTCTTTTTTGTAAAGTGTAGAACTACCTTGGTCCGTGAACCATCCTTTTCTCATTTTTTCTTCATCAAACTCATCTTTTAAGGTAAGGAGAGCTCTATCTTGTTACTAAGAAAGTAGTGTGTTTGTGTTCACAAAAATATTGTGATGAAATGTTTGATTTTGAGTGTATGTTGGATGAGAACACGTTTTTGTTATGTTTGAAGCATGTGTGTGGTGTTTGATTATGTGTATAATTCTTATTCTGGGTGTACATGCACGTATGTTATGGACTAAGTCTGAGAGTAACCTACTATTGGCAATGATCGATTGATGTATGATGTACTAATGAACTAGAGTAAAATAGAGAGATGAGATAGGAAATATGAAAAGAGAAAGGAATACGATAAGGACGAGTATGGATAGTTTAGAGATACTTTAGGAGTGCAGAAGATGGAGTCGACTGAGAAGTCTTAGGGAAATGAGGGTGGTTGATGTTCCTCTTGAATTGCGCAAAACAAATGAGAATAAGAGCACCACAGGCCTCACACTCATTTCCTAATTGATTCTCCCGACCATGCTTTTGCTAAAAAGGGCCGGGTCGACACACATTATATCCATGTAGCTGCGGTTATCCAGTAGCTATCTATGCTAAAAAAGATTTTGCGAGATCCCAGGGGCAGTGAAAGTGTGAGATGAAAGTTTTAAGTATTAATAGACATAAAATAGAATAAGTTAAATAATTGATAATCTTGTTATATGATGATTTGTAGTATTTTCTTATTTGTATTGTTGATTTAATTGTGTATGCATGCTTAGTAATAAAAACAAAGATTCATTCTTATATAAATATTTCAAGGGATCAAGATAACAGCACCTAGAGAGAACATTAGGCTCATAGATAGTTTTGTACAATGTAGGTTGAACTAGTATTTAATGAATACCATAGGTTTTGTTATCTTAAGTTAGCCTTACATGTTGATGATGTACCCCGTAACATTATTATGTTAGATATGGAATTATCCTATAGTGTTCCTTTCGATTTCTCTACGAACAATAGAATCCACCATACCCTGTATATGTACCTTTATCATGGTATAGTTAGAACTCTAGTAGCTGTAACCTACCTATTTACATATCATAATCACGATCACCTTGGAAGGCTGTCTCGATGAACTTTTGAACGAATTACTGATACACAGGTTATTGCAAATTCAGGTGATCTATATCTCAGATCAGATGATGATATCGATTTCGATGACATCACGATGATAGAGGGATAGCATGGGGATAACTAGTATTTTCTTTCAGTCTTTTTGGTGGATAGACTGCTCACTAGGACTTGTTGTATTTTTTTTTATTTTGTAAATATTGTAAATGAGTCTTAATGTATTTTAATGTAAATTTTGCTAATGTTAAACCCTTGTAAATTCGCTAGAACAATGTATGTATATATTGATGTTATGTTAATATTTTTTTTGAAATTTGTTTAATTTTTATTACTTTGTATTTAAGTTTTTATAAATTTGAGTAAAATAAGTAAAATGCTTAATAATTCAACATATTATTTTGGCTGATAAATAGATTTAATTTAATTCTTCCTTCTTAATTACAAAACTATTTCTTTATCATATTAAATAAAATAAAGATGTTACAAATTACACCATAAACTAGTAAAGGATGGAAATATTTTCAAGTAGCTAGTAAAAAAAATTGAGATAAATTGGATAGAACTCCCTTAACTCAAAATTTCTGAATGTTTGACTTATGATTTTAACTTATTAATTGTATTTGCTTGATTTAAATGTAATTAGCTGATTATGGGTTTTGAAATGATGAACTTCTAAACAGACATTTTGGTACTAGTGGTCTATTGTGTGTGATGGCATACATAACATACATGAATTTATGGGTAGGTGAATTGAGACTCCTTATTCATGAACCAAGATTATTATGAGAACACTGGTGTTAGTGAAAATGCAAAGAGTATTAGCATATAAACTATATTATGACTGTTAAGTGAGTTACTGCTTTGCTATGAGACCTTAAGATTAATAAATGAATTTTTAAGTGTTGTGTCAAAACCATTTTTTCTTGGAAAAAGGGCAATTAGAACTCAAAGAAAATAAATATATAAGCCTTAAGAGAGAAAGGTAAGAATGGTGAATGAGAAGTTGCTAAAAGGTATGCTTGAAAGCATGAAGATGGGTACTTGTCTTTCTCAATTTACAAGATCTAAATGGTTGAAAAGAAGGCATAGCCCTAAAAGAAATTGCTTGCATAGATGGTATATCAAAACATAAAATGAATAAAATTTACATTATTAAGATAGCAAATGGGTATAAATGTCTCTCCCCTATAGAAAAGGAAGTCATTGTATCACTATATGATGCAAGATGAATGGTATGGAAGGACACCACAATAACCTATGGGATAATTAAGATTTGAGCCTCTCAAATAGT